GATTCTTACTGTCCCTATTTAATGTGAATGGCTCAGATATGTCTTTCACTTTTATAGAACAGTGCCCTCCACCTCAAAGCGCATTTCAACAGGCCCGTGGCCCCAACCGAGGTAAATCTCTCAAACTAACTGCTGCTGGCTTTTTTTAAGGTTATCTTTTGAAAGATGCTTTTCACTTTTACAGCTGAATGCCCCCCACGGCAAAACGCGTTTCAGCAGGCCTGTGATGCCACACGAGGTAGACTTTCCACCTTTACTGTTGATGACCCTAGAGAATGTGGTCATCAAAAATGTGTATTTAATCTTACAGGAGAGTACGTTCCACCTCAAAACTCATTTCATTTAACCTTTAAGCCCAATGGAGGTTATCTGTCTCCTTTATTTGTTATTGCTGGGGTGTGTGATCGTCTAAAATGTGCTTTATGCTTTACAGGAGAATGCTTTCCAAGTGAAAGCCCAGATCAACATCAATGCATTCGAAAAAGTAATATTTTTCCTCTCTGTGTTGTATTTACTTACAGTTGATTATTTTTGCTTAATAAAAATGTATCATTTGCCTATCATCATGACTTTCGAATACGCCAGTTCTCCCCTCCTTAAATCTTTTTTCACCCTTTTTTAATTATTTAGTTCAGTGTCCGCTAGCTTCACCTTCGAATCAACCATGCGAAAACCCAAGAAACGGTAAAGAATTCAGTGGTATTTCAAATCGTATTAATTTAAATGAACTCATCTCTTTGCTTTAATTTACAAGTAGTAGAATTGAGCACATACCAGTTTCATAGGCTTTTAAGTTATGATATTATCAACTGTTTCTTGTGTGAGTTCGTCACATTTTCATTTACAATAATTATTTATTTCGCTGAACTAAAACATTTATCGGGGTTAAATAGTACAATGAGAAGTGGATAACATTCTGTCGCTTTGAAGGGATGCAAGGCCTGGCTTACTTGCAAATGGAACTACCTTCTCATAGAGTTTATCGCCACTTCATCAATACATCTTTCCCCACTGTTTAGATGATTGGGGTTATTTTCAAATGCCAGACATTTCGGGTTGTAATGCATACGGTACTTTTCCTATTCTCATTGTCACTAGTGTATTGCGCACACTTATTTTGTAGTAAACTGCTAGAAATAGACAGCATTTTTTGGCATTCATTTTGTCCGTTTCTGCTTCCAAAGTAAACTTTCAAGGTGAAAGTTAAAGTAGTTGCATCTCTGCCACAATACATTGATATGTTTTTTTACTAGATTTATCAGGTCTATTTGATAAAACTTGGGGGTCTGCACATCTATATTCTAGCGAAAAATGTTAATCTTAAAGCTCTAATGGCAAAATATTTTATCATCCTGTGAAATTATATGATGCTATTTAATGGCCCCTGCATAGTGCTTCCATTTTTCCCGATTTGGGATTAAGTATGGGACTCGGCGAATCCATCTGTTCTTTTTTCCCTTTTCCTCTCCTAATATACATATGGTAGCAGGATTTGGTAAGTTAGTATCAAATGACATGTGACTTAGCTGATTGTAATGAAAAATGCGTTTAGTTTGATTACTACCATCACCTTGGTGAAATGTCTCCTACACTGGTTGGGCTTCCGCTTTTTTGGTTGATGAGTCCTCTTTTAGTCCGAATTTAACTTTTGGTTGGAAACGTGATCCAAAAAATGATAACTAAAAGAAGAAATTCACTGGTCAAATGGATCTTTATAGCAGTTTGTAAATACTTTTTCTTCTTTTGGGTTATTTTAACTTTAACGTAGGATGCAATTACAATTCAAACTGAATTCTTGACTTAAGATTAATTTTCGGAGGTAAAAAGGCGAATATGTCTATTATCTCACTGTCTTTTCCCAAACTCCATACCAATTCGAAAAAAATTTGTATAAATGCTAGCACTTTTCTCTGTAACCCTTGACCTGACTCAGGATCACAAATAACTGCAACTTCCATTTGGTTTTTAGTAAGACACATTCGCTTACCTTAAACTAAAGCTAATCTCAATCAAAATGATTTACTGTGGTGACTTGCTAAACTTTCCTTTTATACGTGGCGAATTAAGTGGTTGGATATAGGCTTTCTGTTCCTCCGGATGCCTATACACCGTACCTGTAGCTGATGTGCCAGCATCAAATAAATGTGCTTAAGTTTATTTTTGCAGCAGCAGCTTGAAAAAACCATCCTAAACCAACTGAAAACGTATGCTTTGTTAGTCAATTTGACCAAGGTTGGCAGCTCACGAACACATTTTAAATTGTCTAGTGATTACTGTGAGTCTCGGCAGTAGAAAAATCCACCAAATGAACTCATTTTCTGATTTAAAATTAAGTTTAAGATGTTTGAATTTAAAAAACGTCTGATTTCCAGACGTCAATTTCCACACACTCGTGCATTACGACTGGCAAAGGAGTTAATCAGATCCAAAAAAAGGCCCAACTCATTTTTAATGCACAACTCAGTTCTCGCCTACAACTGGTAGCTTAACTTGTAAAGCCCTGATTAACCTTCTTGCCTAATCCCACATTTGTTTGAGATTCTATCCCTACCTTAAATTAAAAATTACAATTTTGCAAGAGGAGGATGGTTTCTTTACCAAGCATTGCCAAACGAGATTTCTCCATTCAAAACGTCTAGGATTACTAGCATTCCGAGTGGCAAATCAGAGAAGAATTGAGTTGGGTGTCTGTGCTAATTGTTAAGCACAGTCCTCGAATTAGCCTTCGTGCTTGGCCTGCAAAATATGCTATTGAAGTCAAATTTAGCTTTTCTACAAGTATTCTTAAACGGGATTTATCCATCTGAAACATTTGGGATTAGTAATTTTTTGACCAGAAGATGAAATAATCATTGAGATAAAGTGCTTGGCTGCTTGACAAATCCAGCTTAAATCTGTGTAACAATAATCCACTAAAATAAAAATAAATTGGCCTAAGGCACACTTCGTATTTATTCTCTCTAACCCTTAAAGGCTGCCCTAAATGAAAACAGTCCGTGGGTCTACCTTCACATGCTAGTCTGCGAAGTGTACGGCTGAAATCAACTTCAATTCCTCAACCGTCTCGCGAGCAGAGCGTCGTCAATGGCTTTGGAGTTAGCAAGAGTCACTGCTTTAATTTAAATTTACCCACCGTGATTTAAAGTGTACATTTTTGGTGTATTCTTGCAAAAAGCGCATTTTATTTTCTCCTTATCTTTGATTATTAGCGAGTGGAAAAATCTATTAAGCTTTATTGCTTAAATTATCCGCGATTGGGCTCAGGGTTTTCGTGAAGTAAATACAACCCTTGATTTTGGATAGAATAAGCGGAAAAGAGCTGAAGAAGGATACCCTTGTCTAAGTATGGGGCTAAGAGCAACTTTCCGTGAAGGAAAGCAAGACCACAGCTGCTACTTATACTAAACGAGTAGCATTTTACACCAGTGTTGGTACGATGAATTGAAGGCGTCAGAAGAATTCAGAATCACTGCACCCTTAAAGCTAATGGGGAATTTGTGTCAAGGATAATTGGCAACATCCACCACATGGTAAAACTGGGATCCTTCTCACCTCCATTGCCCTTTAGGTTTTCAGTCAATTTTTACTCGACGGTTGATTTCATGTTGAATTTATCCGCTTCCACTCTTGACCAGACGAAAAATATTAATGGACGATATTTCTTTATGTAACATTGTTTGTCGATTTATTCCCCTGAAACCTTTGATTTAAGGACTTTCACAATTAGAACCCACTTATAATCGGTGTTACTCAAGGTACATCCCACAGCAGAGTTATCCAGAATAACTTTGAGATGGCAATTTTTAGGAGGGTAAAAATAGTCAGACCTATGTTGTCGGGTGACGGATGATGTTCATCATTGCAGCAGTGATTTATCCTTTACGACAACCGCAACCATTACCATGAAAGAATACGCAGAGTGTCCATTGAAGTGGAATGCACTATCACCATCACCGTCATTATAATTCAGGACTTAGGACATATTTGAAGCCAAATAAGGCATTCTGCAAAGCAATTTGACGCAATTTCAGGAAAATTTTTTTTGGGCCTGTTTGATTTTAAGAATTTCACTATTCTGAAGAATATCACCAAGGGAAAATTTCGACGCGATTATTGACATCATTTATTCTCATGTGTAATAGGCTCTGCCTTTAACTCTTTTGCCTCGACCTTTATTCTTTTGTACCTAGTAGGCTGAACAAATAAGGCTCTTTCCAGTTGGTGGCATTACAAACGGGGTTCAGGGGTCAGGAACATGTCTGCCCAGTCTTAGCTCCCTTCTCGGGTAATTTAAGCAACGCTCCTTTATTACCTCTGTTTCAGTAGACAGTCCATTAAAACGGAATCGTCTATCATATCCTCGTTAATACCTTCATGGTTCATTAACTATGTACTTGAAAATAAGCCTTTACTTGCCGGCAGGTGGTGGAGAAGGCGGCAGGAGAAGCAAACTACCCACAAAGAGAAAATGTCAATTAGATGATCAAACGAATTTTAAGGAAGCAGAATTCTATCTTTTTAACTATTTAAGGGTTCGCTTAACACCCACAACAAAAGTACAAGGTGCACACACAAATCATGAAATGGAAACGGCAACCTCTAAATTTTGCCTTTTAAGCTGCAAAAAGAGATCATTTACCTTCTTTCTCTCTCTTTAAGCTCAGCATACTCCACCTGCCCTGGGCAGAGGGCAGAGCAAATCGTAAGTTCATCGATTTATCGATTTATCGGAAATTGATTTGCCGTACAATGTTTGAATTTCGCTTGTTTGCGCTTATATAATAATAAATGCGGTGATTTACAGTCTGAGAGACACTTCAGCCGAGCGCATACCTCGTCCTCAATTTACACGCGCATCTTGTCGCTTCAACAGGCAATCCACGAAAGCTCCATTTCACCAAGTCAACATGTCATACGAACACCACTTTTTCATCGACCTACTAATGGCGAATCCATTGCCAAAGCAGTCGGATAAAGCAGGTATAGTCGCTACTTACTTTCCACTGTATTATTTAAAAACGTACGAAATTACTCGAAATGAAGAGGAGGATGCGAATGAGGTAGTTGGGTTGCATAAAATGAGGGATATAAACGCTGCAAAGTCATTTTGAACTTAATGAGTGGATTTGCAATTGTAGATACTAGTGAAAATTCATGTCAAGACAAGGATCAACAAGCAGCCAGTCCAAGAAGAGGTGATTATAATAAATATTACGAAGCTGTTGTTATATTTTTTGCACAAATTGTATAGTGTTCAGTTAAATAAGGAAGTTTAAGAAACTTCCATTCTCTTACTTGAAATTTTGAGGCCATTGGCTGCTTTAGTCATTTGCGTTTTTTCTCACTTAATAGGCGATTGTATTTCCGGTCCTAGTACAGGTCAGCCAGAAAGTCCTCCGCAAAAGGGTAATCTTTACCATCATTATTATAGCCATCGTCAAATGATAAACCTTATTTATGTAGAAAACTTCAAAACGATTTAATTTTCACGTAAAGATTTGAGACATAGATTATTTAGACACTAATTGACCCTGATTATTGCGTTATATTTTTATTTTAAAAGAAGAATGCCCTCTATGTCCTGGGACAGGACAACCAGAAGGTAATCTGCCAATAGGTAGTCCCTCCTGTTACTACTCAGTTATTATCAGGATATCGGACATGGGTAATGTTGGAGCTACTTAGCTCTGGAAATTTTGAACAATTTGCATTTACTTACATAAAATTTTGAGACCTAAAATATCAAGCTAACAATTATTTTAGCGAGTCGCGTTGCTTCCTTATTTCAGCAGAAGAACACGCTCCCGCTCCCAGTGCGAATCAACCGAAATTGTGTCCTCAAAATGGTAATGTGGTTTCCCAACATCACCGATTTAACGAAGTGATTTTTAATAGAAGTTATGAAAACGGATATTCCCTTGCATTAGATTTTGAGACCTAAAATATCTAGCTACTGCTTGTTTTAGTGAGTCGCATTGCTTCCTCATTTCAGTAGAAGAGTGCCCTCCCGCTCCCAGTGCAGGTCAACCGGGATTCCGTCCTCAAAATGGTGATGTAGTTTCCAATATCACTAATTTAATGAAATAATTTTTAATGGAACTTATGAAAAAGGGATATTTCCTTGCATAAGATTATGAGACTCAGAATGTCTAGCTACTGCTTATTTCAGTGAGTCGCATTGCTTTCTCATTTCAGTAAGGGGACGTGTTCTAGCTCCTCGTGCGGGTCAACCGAGATTCTATCTTCAAAATGGTAACAGTTTCCAACATGCTTTAACTGTTCATCAAATAATACCCACTGATTTTACAAAGTGAATTCTAATAAATATTCTGGAAACTCCCATTTTCTTACAAAATTTTGCGACGTAGGTTATCGTGGCATTGTTTCTTTGAGTCTATTGCACTGCCTTTTCATTTAAACGGTAGAGTATTTCCGTCACTCCAGTACAGGCCAGGTAGGAAATGATCCGCACTCAGGTAGCCATTTCTGTTATTCTGCTATGTTTCCCAATGATAAAGTTAATTTGATTAGAAATTCAAACAAATTTTTGAAACTTTCTACAAAATTCTTTAGCCTAAATTATCTGATCATCAAATTGCACCGTCTATTTTACTTTCTTTGCATTTTGACAGAAGAATATCTTCGTCGCACAAGTACGGGCCAATTAGAAAACCGCCCACGAGCAGGTTATATTTTTCTGATTCTTCTTCATAATTTTTTAATTACTTCGGTTTGTATAAGACCATTTGACAATCCTTTTCAGCTTTTTACAAGTCGTTGCCACTTAGACTATCTAGCCATAGTTTCATTCATTCATTCTCTCTGCCTTTTCCTGTTTACAGAAGAATATCCTCATCGCCCCAGTACAGGTCAACTAGGAACCGGTCCACGTACAGGCAAGCCATTTTGTTACTATACCAACTTCTCCAGTAACTTATCTCTTCTGAAAAATGTGGCAATGACCACTTTTACAAGATTTTGCAATCTAGAATACCTAGCGATGCATTATTTTCGTTTTCGTACTGCCTTTTCTCTCTGACAGAAGGAAATCTTCGTGGATCCACTCCAGGCCAAATAGGGGACGGTTCAAGTACGGGTAATGTCATTTGTTAGTAAATTGTTTTTAGTGATAATTTTAGAATATTTATAAGTATTTGCCACCTAAAAATACCGGACAACTAATTAATTCAGATTTTTACATCTCTTTTTCATTTCTACATTAGTGTGTTCTCGTCGTTCCAGTACAGGTCAACCAGGAAACAGTCTGCATGCAGGTAATCATTTCTGATGCAATACATTTTTTCTTACTTAATCGGATTCTTACGGAGGTTTTCACAAGATTTCGGCGCCCAATATATCTAGCCATGTTTTTCAATCTATTCTACCTCCTTTTCACTTTTACAGACGAACATCCCCTTTGTCCCAGTACAGGCCAACTGGGAAATGGGCTGCGCATAGGTAAAATTTTCTATTGTTGTGCGATGTTTTCTCTTGACTAATTTGATTGGTGTGGTAAATTATAACAAACTTTTTAGATATCTTACAAGATATGTCCACCGGGAATATGGTTTTATTAAATATATCAGTTCATTGCATTGTCTTTTATATTCAACAGGAGAATGCCCTCTTTGTTTAAATATAAATCGAACAGGAGACAGTCTAGGAGGACGTAATCATCTCGTTATTACGAATTATTTTTCAAATTACGAAATTGTTTAGCATTTGAAAGTCCCACATATTTTTGTCATCTTTCAAGAGGTTATAAGCTATAAAATATTTAACCAGCGACTACTTTAATTTATTGTGCTATCTTTTCATTTTAAAAGGACAATTCATTCCTCGTCCCAGTACAAGCCAACTGAGAAATCGTCTGCCAATGGGTACTCCTATCATTAATAATTCACCACCAATAGTTTTTGTAAAATATATTCTAAAGGAGATATTTATACTACTACTGAGCATTTACCACCCGGAATGGCCATTAATTGCTAATTGCTTTATGCGCACACTTTTAGGCCAATTTATTCCTCACTCCGGTACAGATCAACCAAGGGTTAATCCACAAGCAGGTGACATACATTAAATGATTTGTCATTAAACATTGCACAAAAAAAATCAACTTAAGTGGAGTCTTTTCCAGATGGGTTGTGTTAACCCAACTGTCTAGACAACGCAAACTAGCAGCTAATGCATATTTTTTGCATTTCAGTTGGAGGATTTTTTCGCAGTCACAGTGTAGGCCAACCAAGAAACTTTCGTATAAGAGGTGAGTAATTTATTTTGGTGTTTTTAAAGAATTTGCTTACTTGGAGCTTCAAATAAGCGGTCGGTTTGGTCTAAATGGACTTTGAAGAAACAAAAATATTACATCTTTGAGCCAAATAATTTGCATTTGCATTCTATTAGGAGGATATTTTCCTGGTCCCATCCCAGGTCAAGTGGGACTCCGTTCAAGACTAGGTATATTTTACCACTTTGATGAGGTTTCGTTGCTCTGTACCCCCTTTCGAATCTACACTGACTTACATGCGTAAAATCTAGGTGGCTTTTGTTTCAACTTAATGAGCCTTGACCGCCCACAAGCTAATCACATGTTCTTGTCATTAGCATCCGTGGGCGTCCCTTCCTATCCAGGCAGAGGACATCAACTAGGCAATCTGGGAACAGGTAATATTTTCGGACTTAATTGGGTTCTATTCTCCCCATGCGTGTGTCTCAAAAAACTCAGAAAATCCCTTTTTGTCTTTACCTTGAGTTTATCATTCTGCCTCTTTCCTCCAGGAGGGCAAGGTCTTCTGGGGGCAAGGGCAGGTCTTCAAGGGGTTGCTTCAAGAACGGGTAATACCTTCAGTTTGCAACCGGCAACTATTTCCATTTGTGCGTGGTTATTCATTATGAGCGAACCCAATTAATAGTCGGAAACGCAATAATAGTTTGCCGGCCCTACTGTTTTAAGATCGCAGCATTTTAAAATCGGGTAAGGTCTGGTAAGGCAAACAAATGAGCGGACATGGATTGCCACAACCGCATGTATATTCGGCTATCCAATTAGGCTGCTAGACGGGAGTGCAAACAACAGTGGTTAAGGTGCCCACGTGGTTAAATGCCCATTCAATTGAACACTTACGATCAGTGTTTAATACGTAATCTTTTAATTTCATTGGTAGAATACTTTCCATATCAGAACGCAGGTCAAGAAGGAGGCAGTCCAAGAAGAGGTAAAATTTTTCCAGCAATCATATTTGTCAATTTGTAAGCAAAATATTTTATTTACAGACAAATTTCCCATTGACTAACAAATGAATTTATTCTGTTCTTCCAGTACTAGTAATTCCAAATGACAAATAATTTCTTCTTTGTTTCATTAGATCAATCTTTTCCATGTCCAGGCGCGGGAGTACAAAGAGGCATTCCAGAAATAGGTATTATTTCTGCCTTATGTTGGCATTCGATTCATCTATGTAAACCTTTCTGCATAAGTCAAATTGAACGAAGGAATTCAGAAATCATGCAGCAAATTTGTGCAAACCAAAGGCCTAGAATAAGCAGCTATCTAGGGTAACGCTTTCTGCATATTGTTTTACTCTTTCCAGTAGGAGGCTTTCACTATCCAAGAGCAGGTCATCAAGGAGGCAGTCTAGGAAGAGGTAATATTTCCACCTTACACGGACGGTTTATGAATTAGTGCTGAGCTATTTCCCAAGGCCAAGCTTTGCAATATGCACCCAGAGGTCACTTTTATTCTTTAAAATTCAGACATCCTAGAATCAAATTAGTTAACTGTCTCCGAGTCAACGCATTCATTATTGTGTTTTCTAGGAGAAAACCTTCCAGGTCTAAACCAATCTCAGGTGGAAGGAGGTCTAAAAGGCAGTACTACTGGCCACATTTATTGCCTTGTTATCAATTCACGCACACTTTTTTGTCATTCCTGAAGTTAATGACCAGATTAGGGAAAGGGTGCTCAGTTTTGCCAGCTATAGCAGAACAACAGTCATTTCTACACCAAGTCGGTTACATCATTCCCCATATTTCTTCCAATTACTCGAATTAAAGCGAAGTAGCACCAAGGCATTTTCGTCGTTTCATTAGCAATTCGGGTACTTTTCGATTTGAATTACTCTGCCATTGATGAATCCACAAAGACTATTTCATAACAGAAATTTACAAATTTGTGCTTGTATGGTTGGCCTTTTGGCTATTCATGCACTAGTCTTTGTCACTTCGATTTGGAATGGTCACTCAAAATTAATTAATGTTACTTTATAAAGGGGGAACACCCGGGCTGCCAGGAAACCAACTGCATGATTCAGGAATTGGGCCAGGATGGAGTAAAGTTATCTATTTCAAATTTGCTTGTTTCTTTTACATTTTCCGGCCATAGCTGATAGTTGCAGGTCAAAACTGGGGAACCATAGTCGACTGGACTTCCACTAGAAACTTGGCAAACTACTTAACAGGTTAATGACTGAGGAGGTGGTTGCTCAGGTGAGGACTATGGATACTTTTTGAGTCCAAGAGTATGTCGTGAGGTTCGAGGCAATTGAATTTTACCAAGTAGTACACTACTCTTCCCATTTGGGGTTACAATGGAAAAATAATGACATACAAGTCGGGTTTTAATCGTGGAATCAGCGTGGAAATTGCTCTTGCACTGCCGTTTGAGTTCTAGGTTGCCACTCGTATTTCAGGCAAAGTATCACGGCTTGGCATAAAATAGTCATATAATGAGTGCACAATACTGAGATAATGGGAAATGAATAAGAGAGCTGGTAGAGTTGAGTTGCCATATGTTAAATTTGCATAATTGTTTGGCCTGATTTCAGTTGTCCCATGCACCACATGACTCTAGGTGACACATTTGTTTGTCCGTTGACTCCTCAGTGAACGCGTCGCTTTTAGCCTCAGGGATATGTCTGATTCTCCAGCTAAGCTGTTAGGACATCTAAGGCATGATTTTACAATGAGACACTTTGAAAGGCGTGGTTTACTCAGTTGGAGGATAAGATGAGAGTGTGAGCATAACACTGTATTCATCAGATTGATCAGATTAGAGAATAGAAATTCATCGAGTTTAATTTAATGAGTTTGATCGCTTACCCTTCATTAACCTCAGACTAATTCAAGTAAAGCATTGATGATTTATTGAGGAAAAACTTAGGTTGAATCATATCTTTGTTTCTTTTACAATGCATAGGCTACCCACATTAAAAGGAGGCGAAGATGCCTACTCTCCCGTTATTATGTACAACGACATGCACCCTACTATAAGTTGCCTGTAGAGTGTCTCCGTGACAACCCTGTGACATTTCAACTATCGCTGCCACCAAATGCAATGCTACCTGATGAGGGCAGAAAGAAGCTGCCTTGCATTTAAAATTCACAAGTTGTGGAATTGAATGTACATTTTAAGTAGCATCCTCGAAGAGGAGAAAAATTTGCTCTTATTAAAAAATCTAATACTTTCAACCTTCTTCCTTACTCTTCTTTATAAAGGAGATGTGTGATGAAGGCACTACGCAATGATTTGCACTCCGGTTGACATAAGAGACTAGAGAACAAGTAAAGCTATAGGATAATGATGCCTTCATAAGTGCAGGCCAAATGAGCATTTTCGGGTGTTGGCAGACATCAGCATATTTCGGTTTTTATCTAGACTCGAATTAACCAGACAGCGGTGGAGAGCGTGATTAATTTAGCCGTTAAGTAGAGGGGGAACCGTCATCCCTCTTATAAGACTGAAAACATTACCATCTCTTTGAGTACCTTCCTTTATTCCAGCATCTCCTGCCCCGCCATTATTTCTTATTCTGGCAGCATAATTTCGCTGCAGTAATTTAGGCCAATAATTTAATTTGTTTTCTACTTTCTGGCTTCATTTCATTGCCTTTGCCTCCCTCGAGGGGACTTCACTGCCCCTTGTGAGGTCTAACTACGAACATCTATATACCGCCGTTACACTCTGTACCGTCAGTAAAAGGTTACAACGCCAAGGGCGCTTTGCAAGAACAATCTCTCTGTCCACAGCCTCATGCACAACAACTATGCAAATGGGGACAAAAGTATTCGAGCAACTTTCGGTGACATCCACATGGGGAATGGCAGAAGAAGATCATGCCGCGGTCTTCACGTTCAGGTCTAATTCAATTTAGTCTTCCTTCCCCAACGTCTTTAACAGCTCCGCCGAACTCACCTCCTCTGCCTTCCCCTCCCTTCATCATTTCCTTATTTCCATCATTTTGTATACTACTTTAAAACGTAAGGCATAAATGCCATTCTGACTGAGAAACATATCCTTCAAACACAACCCTGTCAGCTGGCAAACCGCGTGCTGTAACCTGCAGACAAATGAAATGAAGGACCGCGGAACGTGCGACATAGAGCAGAAAAAACGCCGGAAACGTTAGCACTGAAGTAACAATGCTTCGGTGTGCATATCTCTCCTTTCAAGGATTGCGTACAGTCAGGTCAAGTACCATTTTTGGTATTTTACTATGCTGCTAACAATCTACCGGCACTGCTATCAAAGAGGTCTTTGAAACATCAGTTATTATGACAAGATATTTAGAGCAGTGCTTTGGTCAAATCAATGCTGAGATTTATAGAGAAGATGCAGTAATGCAAGAGTACCCAGCACGAATGCTCCGGTGCAAGCAGTAGACTCAAAACCACTGAGTAATCCCACACCAATCACTTGCGGGCATTTTCTGGGTGTGAAGATTTATGTAGGGCCAAGTGCATCTTAATTTACGTTTAATAGTAGTAATGGCGACTTTTACGATCAACAAAATGCTCACAAGCGACTTTTAACTAGACGGCCAAGTATGAGCTCAAATAATTACAATGAAGTTTGCTTGATTTTAAAACGCCTTTGCCGTTATCGTGCAAGCTTGTCGTAAGGAAAATCTCCGACAAATGTCGGGAGGGCACAATTGCCATTTGCAGGCGACAACGCCAGACGTGGGCCAAAGTCAGGCCTACGACTACGGTGGGTCGACCATCAGCAAGTAATCAGTTGGCTGCCTTAGGCGTTGGCCACCGCGAACGTGCGCCCTCTGATTGCGTGCATTTTGCACCATCAGCTAAGACAGATATACATATTACAGGCATTATTTAATTTTCTTCCCAGATCAAATTTCCATTAAACACGTCTAAATTCAAGATCTGCGCTACGTAAATAATTCTATTGAAGCTGCGGTTTAAAGAAATTTGCTGCTTAATTGCAGAAGAAGTAGTATTCCGTTGACAAATGACATTTCATCTTTCCAAACAAGTAATGAAAATTGTTTATTCGACCCTCTTCTCGCAAATTACTCCTAATCAACTGTTGCTATTACCCTATCATTGGTGGTCCCCGATGCCATTCCGTCTAATAAAATTGTTCAAATGATGCCGTCAGAATGGCCACTTCACTGTGTTGATTGTGCGCTGAAGGTGGCTAAAAGAGGGCAAATTCTATCCACTTATGTCAAAAATGCCAAAGTGACACCACCTTTGCACTTTGACAGTTAGGAGCAAGGGGTATATTTAGAGACCGGACAAAGCCAAGAAACGAGTCTCATATACTTGCCTGCCCTTATCAATACAAGTATTTCTCTGAAGGTTAGCCTGCATTCACCTCCCAACGCTCCTCATCAAGGATTCCGCAACCAGTACATATGGAGAGTTCGACGAAGTTCTGCAAAGGATCGTATTTGAACACGATGACATACCAACAATTTTAAATCCCCGTACCTCAACAGGAATGGTATTGGGGTAATT